ATATATATATATATATATATATATATATATATCGCATTCTTTTGCGATCCTTGGATCTTTAAATTCGATCTATTCTTTCGTTGAACAAGAGATCAATACCATCACTTGGGGAGTTCTCGATTATGCAATGCAAGGCGTGTGTAATGAATGTGACTATATAGTTGAATCAACAATGCGGTCGCATTCGAAGCTGAATGTCACATGCCTACGTAAGAATTATCTTATATTACATGTTATCTGGTATGATGTGAATGTGTTCCTTTGGTCGCATAAACAAGAACAACTTCCCACAAAACATGCGATGGAACGTGTGTGAGGAAATATCGATTCTTTAATGCATTGCGGAAACGACGCCGAAAAAAAAAAAAAAGAATAATACAACTATGTTGTAATTTGCAAACAGATGTTACATAAATTTCAAAACCAGTTCTTAAAAATTTATTGTAATTTATAAATTCAAGAGGAATGGTCATTGCAACATGCTATAAAATCTCTCGAGTGTAAAATACCCAAAATATAAAATAAAGAAGGAGAGACAGAGTGCTAGAGAAAAAGTTAAACGAGATGTAAAAATAATATTGAAAATTTGCCAGAAAGTAATATAATTCAACATAAGAAAATAAAGAGAGAATATGTAACGAAAAACATGAATAGAAAGTAAAATCTACAAAATACGGAAGCAGAAACAAGTATAATGATCGAATATTTGATACTGGAAGTAAAAAAAAAAAAAAAGATATGTAATATAATGACAAAGATCGCTTTCTACGCAGATCGATGACCATCCAGACCAACCCGGTTTATGTTAAAATTCTCAAGAAATTCTCTGAATAAAATGCTGAAGAAGGAAAGCATGCATGGAAAGCCACATACATTTTGTACATGCACATGCATTTTCTTCATTTTAACGAGAATGGATGAATCCCCGTGCTGAATTTTGGTTCGTGAAACATTCATAAAGTCGTTCAGAATCTTGGAAAATTATTTTAATTTAACTGTAATAAATATCTGTATTATTGCATTAATGCCTGGATAATTTCGTGCGATGACTCGAGTGATAAGAATGACACGGTTCTGTATCACTTTATTGCTTGTTAAATACTCAAATGATATATAAAATTTTTTTCACGACAAGATTCTGTAATCTTGAAGACTGAAATTTTTTCTTTAAAACTTGCTCTACAATTTTTTTTTTTTCGTTATTTTATTGAACTTCGATAAATATTGCGATTAAAGGACAGAAATTCAAAAAATTTCAACATCTAACTGTAATGCTCGAAATTCTATAATTTTTCATTATTATTGATTCTATTATGCTCTTCACTATCTGTATCTATTAAACAAATATCATACGTAACACATGTACGTAAGAATTTTGGCTCAGACAGATTGGACGTAAGATCACAAAGAACTGAGCAGCTCGAGATTAGACATGCTTGCAAAATTTAAATTGTTTACAAAAATCGATCGGAACATGTGATAACACAGATCACACAGATCGTATTACATTTTCTCACTAGATAATCATCATCGGGCTGATGTTTGAACAAACTTATTCTGCGAGGCATTAATCTTTCTCCATTCAGTTCGTTTCACTCGGTGAGGCTGGTTGTTTTAAATGATGATTAGAAATCAGACGAGTGTGTTGCGTGCAGCGAAATTGCAAATTAAATCATTACATGTGCAATACCACGTTTAATGTGATCGCAATCGCAATAAAATCAACCGACCGGCGATGTTTCGCGATTTAGGATGCGCGTGTCAGGGTTCGTCTAATTGCACGCTTGGGGTAGAAAGCGTAAGCCGAATAATGGTGTTCAAAACAAGAATGATCGTCCTGGCTGTGAAGTAGTGGAATGCATGGATGCGCGGTTCATTTACGTGCAAACGTAGCTTGCATAAATTTGAATACAAGCATTTTATTAAAGTATACTATTTTGACATTTCCAACAGAAAAGAGAAAATATGACTATCGAAAAGATTCAGCAACTACTTTCGAATTTCTTAAAAATATCGATTTTCTCCAAACTAGATTAAACAGATTATTAAGCTATTGCTGGATTGTGGATTTGAAAATTGGAAGACGCAAGAACGTAAAGAATGTTCACAATATGCAGAAATATATAGATCTTGTCAGAAATATATCTTATTACGACATTTAGTCGAAATTTCTATTCCGATTTCATTTGTTTAATTGTATTCATAAAAATATAAAACTGAATAAATAATCCGCAGTTTAATAATAATGATCGTTGAAATATTGTAGTTCACTATAAATATATCCTCCATCTCCTTATCTAAATTTTATTGGTTCCCAACAAGAGAACGTATGAAAATATTAAATCATC